CCGCGAGTCCCAGCCGGGTCTCCCGACACGAAGAAGCTTCCGGAATGACACGCGCTCTGTGTCCTGTTTTTGCTGTGACAACCGTTGGCGGCCACCATGAGCCTCCAAAGGGACAACGGCAAGCCGCCGCGTGCCGACTGTATACCCAGCGTCCCCTGGGCCGGGGCCGGGCGGGCTGTCCCCATGTAGGACCAGCGCGCGCCGCCTAAAACACGTTTTAACGCGTGTTTTCAACACACGGGAGGCACAGAGAGGTTAAGCCACCGGGCCAGCGTCACACAGCAACGAGGCCGGATTTAGAGGCTGTCCGCCGGAGTCCGCGCTTGCCGCTGCCTCCTGACCTCTTTGGGATGAGGCCCGTAGAGGATGCGGGCGGGGGGATATAGAGAAAAAACGAGCCGGCGTGAGGGAGGCACGCCTTGTCGTCCCAAGCTACTCGGAGGGAGGCGAGGTGGGAGGATGCTGGAGGCCAGGAGGTTGAGGCTGGATGCCACGGACAGAGCGAGATTCGTCTCAAAAAAAAAAAAGTAAAAAGAAGAGCCTCAGTTTCCCCCTCTAGCCTGGGTCACAGGAGGCGTCCGTGCTGGCCAGGCCCCGGCCGCACTGACGGCTCCAGGCTGCCGGCCCCTTGTTTGTCTCTCTGCCTGCCCAGTGCCCAGCCTGGCCTGGAGGGGACACAGGTGGCGGCCGCACCTGGATAAGTCGCACCTGGACAACTCGCCACCTGGACAAACTCGCACCTGGACAAACTCGCACCCTGGACAACTCACACCTGGGATAACTCGCACCTGACAACTCGGCACCTGGATAACTCACACCTGCCACAAAACTCGCCACCTGGACAACTCCGGCAGCGGACAACTCGCACCTGGACAACTCACCACCCTTGACAAACTCCACACCCTGGACAACTCGCACCTGGATAACCCGCCACCCTGGACGCCAGCACCTGGGACCAACTCACACCTGACAACCTCACACCTGGGACAACTCCACACCTGTACAACTCGCACCTGGACAACCGCACCTGCACAACTTCGCACCTGGAAACCCGCACCTGACGGCCCGCCAACCGTGGACCAACTACACCCTGGACACTCACACCTGACCAAACTCGCACCTGACAACTCGCCCTGGACCCAACTCGCACCTGGAAACCCGACCTGGACGGCCCGCACCTGACACTCAAAACCCTGGAACAAACTTCACCACCTGGACACTCGGCACCTGGAAACTCGCACCTGGTAAACTCCACAGCTGGACAACTCGCCAACCTGATAACCCGCACCTGGACGGCCCGCACCTGGGACAAACCACAATCCTGGACAACTCGCACCTGACAACTCGCACCTGACAACTCGCACCTGACAACTCACACCTGGACAACTCACACCTGGACAACTCGCACCTGGACAACTCGCACCTGGACCAACTCACAGCTGGACAACTCGGCAACCTGATTAACCCGCACCTGGACGGCCCGCACCCTGGACAAACTCACACCTGGACACTCGCACCTGGACAACTCGCACCTGGACAACTCGCCACCTGGAAACTCAACACCTGGACAAACTCACACCTGGACAACTCGCAACCCTGGACACCACACCTGGATAACTCACACCTGGACGGCCCGCACCTGGACCACTCGCACCTGGACAACTCACACCTGGACAACTCGCACCTGGACAACTCCGCACGCTGGACAACTCGCACCTGGATAACCCGCACCTGACAAAACTCGCCACCCTGGGACCAACTCACACCTGGACAACTCGCACCCGGACAACTCGCCACCTGACAACTCACACCTGATAACTCTGACCAACTCACCACCTGGATAACTCGCACCTGGATAACTCACACTGGACAGGCCACACCTGGGTAACTCCACACCTGGACGGCCACGCACCTGCAGCCGCCTTCCACGCCCGCCGACTGCCACCCGCCCAGCGGCCACGCGCCGCCCAAGCAGCCTCGCACGACGCCCGGACGCCTGGTCCCCTCGTCCTCCTTTAGGGACCGCTCCCCTCCGGCCACTTCCACACCTGCCACCGTCCCCGACCGCCCGCCCGCCGCCCCAGCCTGGCGCCAGCCCGCACGGGGCACGCCGAACACGCTCGCAGGCCCCGACCCGGGCCAGGTCTACACCGGCGGCAACACCGTCCACACCACTGGCAGCCCCGAGACAAAGAGCCGTCCCCCCCTGGCGGATCGGAACTCGCAGGGTGACCGCTGGGAGCGGGTCCCGGCCGGGCGACGGCGGAGACCGGAAGACGCGTGCGATCATCGTCCCGTCTTGCTGATACAGGCCGGTCACCCGACGCCGCCTTTCCAGGCCGAAAAAAATCACTTAATTCTCTCTCTCTCGGCTCACCGCGGGTGTAGACTCGCGGGTTTTTTTTCCCGCCGCCGGGGCGCCCGGGGACTCACCAGGAGGTAGAAGGTGATGAAGATGGGGCTGGAGGTGACCCTGATCTTGGCCCGGGCGGTCGGAAGCTTCCAGAGCAGGAAGGCGAAGAACAGCACGTTCGGGACGAGCAGCAAGAGGTCCCAGTAGCGGACCCTGGCGGCAGGGGCCAAAACGGCCGCTCACCCTGTCGTCCTTGGTGGGACCCCAAATCCCCCAGCATGCACCTGGCGGGGTGTGTGTGTGTGTGGGGGGGGGAACCCGGGTGGGAGACGAGGCCGGCCTCCCTCCCCGGCCTCACCTGGACGTCCCGATGTCCTCGTAGAGCAAGAGCAGGCAGCGGTGGGGCACGGTGATGTTCGGCGCCAGGGGCGGGGGTGACACGGTGCTGCCATTGTCCCACGTCACCATAGCGACGGTCACCAGCCCTGGGGGAGGGTGGGAGCAAGAGTCGCCATGGTTACCGGCCTCGGTGGAGGCCACCTGGCCTCCGTAACCTGAGCCTCCCATTCCCAGGGGACATATGTATTTTTTATTATTATTATTATTTTTTTTTTTTTTTGGAGACAGAGTCTCGCTCTGTCGCCCGGGCTACAGTGAGTGCCGTGTGGCGTCAGCCTCGCTCACTGCAGCCTCTGGCCTCGAGGCTCAAGCGGTCCTCCTGCCTCGGCCTCCCTCCCGAGTAGCTGGGACGACAGGCATGCGCCACCACGCCCGGCTCGTTTTTATATATATATATATATATATATTAGTTGGCCAAATTAATTTATTTCTATTTTTAGTAGAGACGGGGTCTCGCTCTTGCTCAGGCTGGAGAGAGAGATGGCGGGCGGGCAGGGGCGGGCCTGGGCGCCCCGGAGTAAGGGACCGCGGGCCGTTTCCGCAGTTAGGGGCGGAGCAAAGCGCCCGCCGCGACTTCCGGTGGTCGCGGCCCGGCCGCCGGCAGCGCTTGAGCTGGGGGGGGACGGTGGCCTCCGGCGCGCGCTGTGTCGCTTCCGGCCGCCACCCGACTCCGCGGACAGGGAACCCGACGCCGCTCTTCCGACGCTCCCCGGACGCCGTGCCTGGCTTGCGGCGGCGCTGGAGGCCGAGCTGGAGCCCGGCGAGCCTGTCACTCACCGGGGACCCGGCGGCCGGGCGTGACGGCGACCACGGGCTGGCAGGTGAGCAGGGGGCGCGCCCACCTTCCACCGTCCCCCACCAGGGCCGGCCTTCCACCTCCTCCTCGTCCTCCGTGCGCAGCTCCACTCTCTCTGGGGGCGAGCCCGGCCTCCCGACCGAACAGTGGACAGGCATAGCCCGCGCCTGCGCGAGACAGGCAACGGGAAGGGCCTTCCCGGAGGAGGAGGGCTGGGGGGGGAGGAAGAGAGAGAGGCCAGATATTCGGAGCTGAGGGTTGAGGCTAGGGCTGAAGTCCAGCCTCAGCCCTGCAAGGGACAGAGGTGACGGTGGCCTCCCTCCTGCTGGGCCTTCCTCCTCCCTCGTTATTTCTTGTTTTTGGGGGGACAGAGTCCGCTTGTCGCCCCGGGCACAGCAGCTCCGACTTTGAGGGCTCAAGGGATCCTCCTGCCTCGGCCTCCCTCCGAGTAGCTGGGACGAACAGGCATGCCGCCTCCACGCCCGGCTTCGTTTTTCTATATATTTTTAGTTGTCAGCTAATTTTTTTATTTTTTTTCAAGTAGAGACGGGTCTCGCTCTGCTGGCTGGCCTTCGCTGCCCTGACTCCAGCGAGCCTCCTCAGTCGGCCTCCCAGAGTCTGGACTACAGGCATGCGCCAGTCCGCCGGCTAATGTTTTACGTATATATTTTTATTGGCCAGTAATTTCTTTCTAATTTAGTAGAGACAGGGTCTCGCTCTGCCTCAGGCTGGTTTCTGACTCCTGAACTTTCAGCGATCCTCCTGTCTCGGCCTCCCCCTGAGTAGCTGGGACGACAGGCAGCGCGGGCAGCCACAGCCGGCTTCGTTTTTTTCTCTATATATTGTGTGTTGTCCAGCTCATTCTTTCTATTTTAAGTAGAGGCGAGGTCTCGCTCTTGGCCTCAGGCCGGCCTCGCAACTCCTGACCTCGAGTGATCCTCCCGCCTCGGCCTCCTCCCGAGTAGGCTGGACTCCAGGCATGCGCCTCCGACGCCCGCTCATTTTTCTATATATATCAGTGGCCAATTAATTTTTTATATTTTTAGCAAGAGACGGGGTCTCGCTCTTGCTCAGGCTGGTTTCAAATCCTGACCTCGAGCGATCCTCCTTCCTTGGCCTCCAGAGTGCTGGGATGACAGGCAGGGCCACCACCATGCCCGGCTAATTTTTTTTCCAATATATTAGTTCTAAGTTATTGTTTTCTATTTTTTTTTTTTTTTTAGTAGAGACGGGGTCGCTCTTGCTCAGGCCGGCCTCCAACTCCTGGCCTCTGAGCGACCCTCCCGCTCAGCCTCCTCGGAGTAGCTGGGGACTGCAGGCATGCGCCACCGACGCCCGGCTCATTTTTTTCTATAAAATTTACCTTGTCCAGCTCCATTTCTTTCTTATATTTTCAGTAGAGACGGGGTTCTCGCCTCTAGCTCAGCTGGCTCAACTCCGGCCTCGAGCGATCCTCCCAGCCTCGGCCTCCCAGAGTGCTGGGATGACAAACTGGCCTTTGGAATGTTAATGAAGCTTGGACACACCCTCCCAGGGGGAAGGACTGTCCATTTTTTGGTCCTGAAGGGCCCAGAGCTGCCCCAGGGCACCCGTCTGGGAATGGGCCTCCCCCTCCATTCTGGGCTCAACCACTTCTCCCACCCGGCCCTCCGCCAGCCTCACACCTTCCCCTTCTGGTCACTCATGTCCCCAGGCCAGGAGGCGGAAAACAAGGGGCCGGGCGCGGAGGCTCACGCCTGTCAACGCCCAGCACTCTGGGAGGCGAGGCGGGAGGATCGCTCATGAGGTCAGGAGGTCGAGGCACCTGAGCAAGAGCGAGACCGTTCTACTAAAAAAAAAAATAGAAGAAATTAATTGACCAAGTTATAATATATAGAAAAAACGAGTGGGGCGGTGGTGGCACATGCCTATAGTCCAGCCTAACTTGAGAGGCTGAGGCAGGAGGATTGCTGGAGCCAAGAGTTGGAGGCTGCCTGTGAGCGAGGCTGACGCCACGGGCACTCGGTCAAAAAATACAAATATTTTATTTGTTTATTTTTTGGACAGAGTTCGCTCTGTCGCCGGACCTAAGAGTGAGTGCCTGTGGCGTCAGCCTCGCTCACAGCGCCTCCACCTCCTGGCCTCCAGCCGATCCTCCCGCTCGGCCTCCTCACGAGTAGCTGGACGACAGGCATGCGCCTCCACGCCTGGCTGCATTTTTTTATATAATTAGTTGGCAATTAATTTCTTTCTATTTTTTAGTAGAGACGGGGTCTCGGCTCTTGCTCAGGCTGGTTCGACTCCTGACTCCGAGCGATCCTCCCGCCTCGGCCTCCAGAGTGCGGGATGAACAGGCGTGAGCCTCCGCGCCTGGTGTTTTTATATATTTTTTAAATTATTTAATGTGGTATCTTTATTTTATATATCTCTTTTGTCAATACTGGTCCTGCTGTATCTTCATGATTTTTTTTTTTAGTAGAGACAGGGTCCTTGCCTTGCCAGGCTGGCTCCACCTCACTGACTCCAGCGATCCTTCAGCCTCGGCCTCTCTTCATTATCTTGGGATGCCACCATGCCAGGCTAATTTTTCTATATATTTTAGTTGACTATTAATTTCTTTTTTTTTTTTTTTTTTAGTAGAGACGGGTCTCGCTCTGGCCAGGCTGGCTCCAACTCTGGCTCGCGGAGCGATCCTCTGCCTCGGCCTCCTCCGAGTAGCTGGGACTCAGGCGTGAGCCTCCTCTCCTGGCTCGTTTTTTTCTATGTATTATCTAAGTTGTCAGGCTATGTCTTTCTAATTTTTAATTTTCTTTTAATATGTATATTTAGTTTGCCGATTGATTTCATTTTCATTTTAAATGTTTTTAAAATTTAAATTTATAAATATTTAATATATTTCTTTCTTTTCCATTTTCCTTCTTCGAGTTCATGAAGTGGCCCATTAATTTATTTCTATTTTTAGTAGAAGACGGGGTCTCGCTCTTGCTCAGGCTGGCCTCCGACTCCTGACCTCCAGCGATCCTCCCGCCTCGGCCTCCTCACCGGAGTAGCTGGACTATAGGCATGCGCCACACGCCGGCTCATTTTTTTTTCTTTTTACTTGTTTTGGTTATTTTCTTTCTAATTTTTTTTATAGTAGAGACGGGGTCTCGCTCTTGCCCAGGCTGGCCCTCGAACCCCGGCTCTGTAACGATCCTCCCTCCTCGGCCTCCCAGACTGCCTGGGCCTGACAGGCGTGAGCCCTCCACGCCGCCCCTTTTATCACTCTGCCACCACGGTGCCAATCCCGCGGCCGTACACCCCCGTTCACGACAGCGCCCCCACCCCCGGGGGATTCCAGGCGAGGGGAAACCGGTTTCTGAATCAATCCTGGTGCATTCGACTAACAGGCGGAACTGAGGCATAGGAGAGGCACATGGCAAGCCGTCGAGTGGCATTTTGTCTCTGCAGACCACAACGTGAGGACCAACCCCAAGAGTTGGGGGGTTTGGGGAACTAATCTCGTTCTCCGAGGGTCGAAGCAGGGTTAGGGGGGTGGCAGGCAGAAAATCGGGGTACCCCCCCCTGCTTCTAGGCCTCCGGACCCCGCGGAACCTGGGCTCTTCGATTCCTGGCCCTCGCCAACCGATTCCCTCCCTGTCCTCTGTCCCAGTCTCCTTCTCTGGTAAGAAAAGGCAAAAATCAACTTAGACATTCATTTCTTAGCTAACGTTCTAGTCCTTTCAGCGGCGTTTTTTTTAACGAGGCGTCGCTTAACCGTCCCGCGGCACCAGGGGGGTTGCGGGCGGTGACTCACCCCGGCGTCCCGAAACGGCAACCCGCGGAACGAGAAGGGCACCCACGCCGCCAGCTCGGTCACCCAGCGGGCCCGGGAGGCCTCACGCCTGTCGTCCGGCGCTCTGGAGGCCGAGGAGGAGGATCGCTCGATGGAGGCCAGGAAGTCGAGGCGGCTGAGAAGAGCGAACCCCCCTGTTCCTACTAGGAAAAATTAGAGAAGAAAGCTAATTGATCATTAAATATATAATATATAAAATTAGGTGGGCGTTGGTGGCGCATGCTGTTAGTCCCAGCTACTTGGGAAGGGAGGCCGAGGCAGAAGGATCGCTCGAGGTCAGGAGTCGAGGCCAGCTGAGAAAGAGCGAGATCCCGTCTCTACCTAAAAAATAGAAAGATTAATTGATCACTAAAAAATATATATTATATGTAAATTAGGCGGCCCTGGTGGCGCATGCCTGGTCATCCCAGCACTTGGGAGCCGAGAGGGAGGATCGCTCGAGGTCAGGAGGTGGGAGGCCAGCCTGAAGCAGAGTGAGACCGGTCTCTACTGAAAAAAATAGAAAGAAA